ACCAGTATATCATAAAGAAGATATTTGAATGTGTGTATATGTGGAAGATACTCGTTCCATAACTTCGGCTTGATTTATATAACAGGAAGGTGTAATGCCTCTAAATTTCGAAAAATTATTGATAAAAAACTGCATGATTATGGATTATGTTTTGAAAACCACATGTTAGCAACTACTTCAGATGAACCGAAAGTCATGAGAAAACTTACACTTTCACAGACATTTCTTAAAACAATAAAATCTAGAATCAGTGACCGACGTTACTCAAAAATTATATGAAGTGTGTAAAAGCAGGAATAAAAAAAGCTTTATCTGCATATATTAATTAAATAGTAAAGCTTGACTTAACGAATCATCTACGCCCAGACGAAACGGCTAATGCTAGAATCATGCCCCAATAAGGGCCACTCTTAGTCCGAAGGTGTTATATATGGCTAGGATTTTGGAAATTCGTACTAGAATGGCACGAAAAGTTCTAAATATGGTACCATTTTATTTGGCAAACCGGTAGAGCTAGAACTATTGAAAATTTGAAAAGATGGAGTGTAGGATATCATGTATCAAGAACTGTCGGAAATTCCAACTATAAGTATTCGAAAACTTATAAAATATGAAATAAGGATGAACCTATAGAGCCATATAACTGAAATTTGAAAATAAAATTGTAGAATTAAGGTATGTAGGTAATTTTGGAACCGATAGGGCTGGAACCCTGAAATTGATAAATTAGTTTTCTATTGTTTGTATACCTATATCATAGTTAAGGGAATTTGTACGTATGTGTACAAAGTGGTACTAAATTTTATATAATTTGGATTAATGTGATCGGATCGAGCTGACATCCGGATAATTGGAATTTAGATTACTGTTGGAGCGTAGGTTTGGGATATGTAGGATGTTTTGGAAATTCCTACTTATACTTATTCGTAACGGTACTAAATTTGAATGTGGGTGAACTGGAATCCTGATATTTGGAAATATCATTGGATTTTTGGTTGATATGGTAGGTAGATATTGAAATTTTTAATAATGTGTACTAAATTTGGATTTGGGCAAACCTACAGAGCTCGAGTCATGAAATGTGAAATTAGTTTTCGAAATAAATACTACAAGAGTACAAAAGGTAATAAATTGTACCAAATATAGTATAGAGCTTTTTCTTTTTTTCTGTTGCGACCAACATTGGTAGTGTTGAGATATGGAGGTAGTTTCCGAAATACCTACTATAAGAGAACAAAGGTACTAAATGGTACTACAATGGTCGATATAGGTGTGTAGGATGATTAGCTTTTCTGACATATGTAGATTTCTGACATGTTTTAATAGTTTTTGACATGTTTTAATAGTTTCCACATTCACTAATGAAGTAGCGGGCATATGTTAGTTATATATAAAACCAACTTCTATGGAGATAATATTTTGTGGAAATATTTACATCAATATAAGAAGCAGCATGGCAATTGACCTGGTGAATGCACTGATACTTTTAAAACAAGTCCTAGCCTTTCGCATTTTTATTGTCTGGAGTTCAGGATTGACAATTTTGAATTCGCGGTTTCCCAGGAATGAAAGAAGTGGTAAACTTCCAAACCCTATTCTTTAGGTTATTTATTAATGCAATTTGACAGAAAATATTTGTATTGTCAGATCGATTATCAGTTCCTTTCGTATTGAAATGTTTTCTCGAAAAAAACATTGACTCTGACTGTTGGGAACAAATATTTGTTATGGGGGTGTTTATTATGGATAATTTCATCTGTAATGAAATTCATGCATGCCGCAAAATGAGTTCCACCAAATGTAATAGCATTTGTATGATAAATGATACCTTTCAGTTTTACTAAATATTCATTTATGGAAAGATTAATTTATCTAGAGTAAATTTTTGAGATCAAACAAACCCGAAATCCGTTAAGTGAATCAATTTACAATATTGCAATTTCGAACATACACTACATGTATATTGATTGCCCTTCTCCTGTAAGGTTTATAAATGAATTACAATTAAATAATTACAAATAACGATTTAATGAAATACAACCTTTTTTCATTGTATTTCATTAACATTCAACATATTTAAATTCCACTAATGATGGTGTAATTATTAACCAAAACCACCACACACACACACAAAAGAAATTTCCTACAAAATACCGCCAAGGCGGTAGAGCTTTAACACATAAGGGAGAAATCTTGCCGCTTTCAAATTTGAAATGGCCCCGAGTTAGATTCACACAAATGCAATCACCTCAGATACCAGGCTCTGCCACTGCAGTGGTAATTATTAAATAATTATGTGCGATGCCTAAAGATAAATAACTGAAACTGAGCAGACAGGTGCAACAGGAACGAACCCTGGTTAGCGAACACACGGAAAATTAATGATCTCTTCCTCACAGAACAGAATATAGAACGAATGTTAACGATACTTACCGGCATTTGAAGTGGTGTTGCAGCCATCACCACAATAATAATAATAATGAAATGAAACACACACGCACACACATGTTCAACTTGATTTTCATGTTTTTGTTGTATTTTGTTCTTAAGTATTTAAAATTGAATTTATAATTGTTTCTGTTTTTTGTTTTGTTTTTGTTCGTAATCTTAAAAAATATGAAATGAATATGCTGTTACTTCAAGATATACATATACATATAATAGGTACGTATATACTATATTTAAATATAAATATATATACTTATATATAAAAAAACATATTTACATTACATTATGTTATAATTGATTTACACTGACGGCCTTAAGTAATGAAACACTTGAATTCATTCATGCATTTATTTATTTGTTTGTTGATTTTCAAAATTTTGTTTCGGGAGTTTTTTTCTTCCGTTTTTTTTGTTTTTCAAATTAATTTTATTGTCACATCAACAAATCAGAGGTTTGGGGATGGATTTTATGTTTGTTTTTCATACATTTTATTTAAATATTAAACATTTCGTAGAATATACATATTGGATAAAGAAAAATAATAATGAGGGGTATGTGGGGATTCATGAAACAATAAAATTTAGATAAAAAAAACTAAAAAATATTTAAGATTTACTCTACAACTTAAACTAACTGACATTGTGAAAATTAAAATAATTTCAAATTTTTTTCAAACATGCAGAAGTTTTTGCTGTTGGCAATTTTGACAGCATCTTTTTTCCCAGGGGAATATGTCTTTTTTTTTTTTTTTTTTTTAAATAAAAAACTAATAATTATTAAAATGTCCTCTTTAATACGTGACAACTTTTGTGACTTACTTGGTAAAAATGTCGAAAAATTTTAAAATGTTAAAAAAATAAATGAAAATTCCCCATAAAAGTCACAAAAATTGTCTCATCTTAAAATCGAACAAAGTGCAGCAAGTAAATTTTTGTTGTAACAATTAAATTGAACTAATATTTTCTTTATCACATTTAGCTTATTTATCTTTCCCCCTTTCGGAAAGTCTTGCTACCAAAATAACCAACTGCAAAACTCCACTTAATCTCAAAATAACTATGTAATAACTACACAACATAATTTGCAATAGTGGTGAAAATTGTCGACAGTTGTTGTTGTAAGTCTTGGGGCAAAAATGAGAATTTGTTGTTTTTGGGAGAAGTGGAGTTGGCAGTAAAATTTCCTTTGTATATTTCGGTGTAAATATAATTATGCTAAAAATCATTTCATTTGTATTTTTGTTGTTTTCTGTTCTGCCTGTCATTATCACTGAAATTTATTTCAGTTCCAAAAAAACAAAAAAAAACTTTGTTTAGCTCTTTGCCTTCTAACGACCTCAAGTAATCAACCTTCTGTGACAGCATTTTCCTTTATAACTTTATTTGTATCATCATCTTAAATGCTAATTTTGTAGAGTTGTATGTATTTTTGTGTTGTTGTTCGTAAATAGAGATAAAATTGTATTCAACAGGAAGAGTTTTTGGTAATGGAAAGGGATTTGAAGGAAGATATAGGATATTTATATTTGTTTGTTTTTATTTTTATTTTTGTTTTAGTTTTTTTTTATTTTTTTGTTAAGATAAGGGAAAGTAAACTAATCGCAAGTTCAAAATTTTTTTATTTATATATAATTTGTTTTTGTAGCTCTTCTTCATCATGTGGCTGATGTTTTATATATATATGTTAATAAAATGCTAAAAAGTTATACTCTATATATATACGTTCGTATGTATGTAAGAAGAAATGATTTATGACCTATAACTATTCGTTCACTAAAAATGTAATCATCCATCTGCATCATCGTTGTCCAAAACGGCCGTTGGCCATAGAATTTCATCTGAAACATTTTCAGTGTAAAGTTTCGTTGAGATTCTGTGGATAGTGGGACCGATTGGATGTTGTATGTATTATGTATGTATGTGTAAATGTGTGTTTGAGTGTAAGTATTCGTTAATGTATGTAAAGTAAGTATAAAACTACAGGGTGAAAATAAACCTGCTATCATGTCTTGCAGCAAAAGAATTAGAATTTTGTGCGGGTAACCACCATTGCGGCAACGCCTGTTATGATTGATGAGCCTTAAACACTGTGCGGATCTCAGTGTCTGCGTGTGTGTGTGTGTGTTAGAAGTGCTGCTGCTGATTACGCCTTTTATGGTTTGCGGGCCAACAGCTTGGGGGGTAGGTTGCCCTTCAGGTTTCTATGTTCATTCTTGGGATGCGTCTGTCCGCTGCTAAACATTCGAGCAGGTATTTTCAATATCACAGCCTTAAAGCACAAACTTGGAATTATTTTCACATCTTCTCTCTCTCGTCATCTGATCCATTTGCAGCTAGCTGAGAGATTGGGTTCTCTAGTTGTTGCTGGAACAAGTTTGTCGTTCTGTCCACCAGCAATCGTTTCGTTTAATTCGTTAGGTTTGTACATTTTGTAATTGATTCGATTTTGTTGTTATTCGTTTCTTATTTCAATTTTGTTTTGATTTGCTATTTGCTTCTTCGTCTTTTGTGTTATTTTCCTTTGTGAATTTGTTGTTTTTTTCAATTTTGCTTTCAGTCTACTTATTCTGTATTAGAAGCTCTATGAGTTTCCACCATTGGTATGAGAGGGTGTTGCGGGCCATTTACGTTGACACTACTGCTACAGCTACAGCCGCAATGCTTCAGTAGGCCTAAATTAGCCACGCTTTAGTACAAGGAACTTTTTTTGGTTTGGGGTAAAAGGAATGCACGTTTGTTTTCAAACGCGTATACTCACCACAGGTGGATACGAGATGTACTTGTCGCTCATATTGAAATATGAACCGTCCGGTGGTGGGGCGGGCGAGGGCGACGATATGTAGCTGCCCTTGATGACAAGCGACGAGGCGGGCGACGGTGATGGTATATACATGCCATTAGACATTAGCATATGGTCGTCCTTGGAACGATTCATCTGCTCGGGCATGCCGGAACGATTACTGTGTCGCTTTGGGTTGGGCAGGGTGCGTGTGAAATCCGGATTACACATATAGGGCGGGGTACACATAGAACTCTCCTGATATTTGGGTGGATACGCCGTGGATTGGATGATATCGACATTCTCCACCAAATATGTCGAAGTGGCCTGCTTCTGGACATCGGCCTGCAGAGCAGAAATGGGCAACTGTATAAAGGTAATTTAATGAGAGTGTTACGGTTAGCTCAAGCATATGAAAGTTACGATCATGATTGGTTATGAGATGATGGTGATTGACGTTAAATGGTAACATGTTTAATTAAAAAGCTTATAATGTTCAACGTAATCTTACCTTATAGACTGACTGATTGTCCTCCTTGGAGTAGGCATCATCATTAGGTGCTTCCGCTTCTGCTGAGCTCTTGTTCTGGCGTCTAATCACAAACCACGCAACCAAGGCGGCATTCAACACCAACAAGACCATCGCTGCAGAGGTTATACCAATAATCATCATATTGGGCATTTCATCTTTCTCATTTAACTCCGCTGAGTAGGGTTGGGAACCTAATTTTCGAAACGAAAAAGAAAAAAACACAGGCACTCAGTAAAGGTCATTCGCCAACATTTGCCTGCTTCTCTCTCTACTCACCTTTGGTTAGAGTCAATTTAATATCCGGCAAGAATTTACTACCACCCGCTTCATTGGCTGCCATTACCGAGAACAAATATGTGCTGCCCGCTTTTAGACCATCTATGCTTATATTGAAACTTCCTGGTTTGGCATCCACGTATTTGTATTTATCCTCGTTGTGGATTTTGAAACGCAGCCGATAGTAGACCGGTAGACCGCCATCGAAGCCAGGAATCCAGGCCAAATCCACACCATTATCTGTGACATTATTGACCAACAATTCGAAGGGTGTATCGGGCCGGGTGGGTTTGGAAAATTCCACGGTGGTAGTGGCCTGACCGTGGGTGTTGCGAGCCACACACTCATATTGCCCGTAATCATCCGCCGAGGTGTTCTCTATGACTAATGTTGACTCATGAGTCAAGGCGTCCAGTTTGCGTTCCAATGCCTTGAATTTATTGCGACGCATTTTCAGGTCTTTGCCACTGCGACGCCAAACAAAGCTGGGCTGTGGGGCAGCCAAGGCTTTGCACACCAAACGACCACGCTCACCCATACGGGCGGCAAACCGCATCAGGGCAGGTGAATGATCCAATTCGGGAGCAGCTGAAATCCACAAGATAATTGTTGTTGTTGTTGATGTATTTATGTTTAGCAATTTCAATTAACTTGAAAACTACAAACACACAATCGAGTGTCGGTGTGTCGCTGAGTGTGTGTATGCCGCTAAGTGCAACATAAAATTACAATAATAAAAAAACTTACATTGAACAACCAGCAAAACATCCCTTTGGGCAGGTGGTCCTCTTTGATTGTCAACAACACAGGTGAAATTGCCAATATCCGAACGTTGTACACGGCTAATGTGCAAGTACGAAGTTCCATTGTCATAGGTTATTGTCGTTCTGGCGGACATGTCATAACCGGCTCTAATCCAAGTAACATGTTCGGCGGCCAAAGGACGAGCCATAATAGAACAGGCCAAAACAGCATCATCGCCTTCGGCAAAACTGGAGCCATCTGTAACCGATTCAATTGATGGCGGATCTAGAGCAAAACAAAAATAAAAAAATTGCAATGTTTGTCCTGTCTTCCTTTTCTCTCATCCTTTACTTACATTCAACGACCACTTGTATTTCCATAATGGCTGTACCCTGAGAATTCATGGCTTCGCAAATGTAGCTACCTGCATCATTTCTCGAGAGTTTGCTAATATTCAGGGTGGCTCCATCGGATATTATGCGTTGGCCGGGTGCATTGCTCATTATCGGCAGGCCATCCTTAGTCCAGGTGTAGGTCATGGACATGGGGTTACCGCTGGCGTGCAATTCGATGCGCAAAGGTTCACCTTCTACACCCAGATAGGTGGACATTTGGGTACTATCAAATTTGGGTGGATCTATTGGACAAATTTCAGTTATGGAAAAATTCAGAATATAAAATATTTTCATTTAATACTTACATAAAATATCCAAACTGACAGTTTCGTGAACACTGCGCTGCAAGACCTCATTAATTGACTGACAAGTGTAGACAATGCCATCCAAATCTTGGGTAATATTAACATAAACTTCCAAAGTGGAAACTGAACCTCCCCATAGACCTGGTTTCGTTGAGAGATTTACACCCTCCACTGGAATGCCATCCTTCCACCAAGACACCTTGGCTGGTGGATTACTTGAACTGGAGTCACAAATAAGTTTCGCTCGGATACCGGGTACCAAATTCTTTGGTTCAACAGATATTTTAACGGTTTCAGGTGGAACTGGAATAGTGCGCAAAAACACATTAACATTTAAAGTCTCTTAACCATCAATTGACGTTTTATTACTTACAGTGGACATTTAGAGTTTTTGTTGCAAACAGAGGTATCTCAATGGCAGGACTTTGTATTTCACACTTATAGATGGCATTATTGTCGGAGGCATTCACCAATATCGTCAACTCCGATGTGATTTTCGAGTCCACAACCTTTGACTGGGTATTGAGTTTCTTATCATTTTTGTACCAAGTCAGGGCGGGTGGTGGATTGCCACCAGATGAAGAACATTGCAATTTCTTTACCGAACCCGAAGTGATGACATCACCGTCATTGTAGCCTGTCAACAAGGGTGGCGAGGGTGGATCTGTGTTTTTGCAACGCAAATGAAATCAAAAAAGGGGGAGAACGAACACATAAATTTCATTTCGATTCACATTTCAATTAACTTCGTCGTAAAACACGACCAAGAATAAGAATAAGAACAAGAACAAGAGCAAGACAATAATAACTTACACAAGACATTGACACTGTGGGAACCCACCACATTTTGTGTCAGATCCACATTTAGAGCATGACAAACAGCCACAAATGTTCGTGAATTGGAGTCAATGGTTATGGAGACATTCGATGTGGAAAACCAACCACCTTCGATGCTCTTCTGCGTCTTGTAAGTGGAGTTGCCCAGCGGGCGTCCATTAAGCGACCAACTAATGCGGGCCGGTGGATTGGAGGGCGCTGTGATGCAAGTCAACTGGACAACATCACCGACTTTGGCCTCTGTGGCGCCGGAAATTGTAACTTCTTTGGGGGCAACTTTATTGTGAACAAAGAGAGGAGATAATTAAAATTAATAAAGGCTACGCGGGAGAGAACTTCAAACGAAGAAATGCTTACACAAAACTGTTAGATTGAGTTCGGCCTTAAATGCGGTATTCGACAAAATATTCTTGGCTTCGCACACCAAATGGGCACCATTGTCAGCAGCTTCGGCTACAAAATTGTAAACATTTTCCGATAGACGTCCCGATGTTCTGTTGAATACCAAAACAAAAAACAACAACAATTAGATTTCAATGTCTTAATTTCGATTGCTCAATCTTCATTACCTTTGTGGTGAACTGATAACTTGGCCATTTTTATACCAAACCAATTGGGCCGGAGGATTGCCACCACGACTACGACAGGCAATTTTAACATTTTGTCCTCTACGTAAAGTTTCACCTTGAGTGTAACCTTCGAAGAATGGTGGACCGGGAGGATCTGATGGAATATAATACCGGATGATTTCAAACATCTTCATAAATTCAAATCATACAACTTACACAAAACAGACAACTGTACGCCGGAACGCATATGTACATCAGGTGGCAGGGCCTTGTGTTTGGCCTCACAGGAGAAATCTTTATAATCATCATCGGCTTTGGGTTGTATTGTGATTATTGATACCGTAGTGAAACGTTTTGGGGCGGTTTCGGTAATTTCAACATGGGGTTTAACTGGGAATTGAGGAATAATTTATATATTTATATATAGTTTATATCTTTATTTTCATAGGTAGTTATTGATTTTTTTTTAAATTAAAGAAAAACTTGGCTGCCCACTTACCTCCAGTTATTGGTACATTATTACTGTTCCACACCAAATTCGCAGCTGGATTGGCATTCTCCGCAATACATTTCAAGGTCAAATTTTGCTTTTCAATTACCTCCACTTTAGTGTTGGGAGCATAACCATCTATCGAAATGGAACTGGGTGCGGCCACAATACTCAATTTGGCATTAGCTCGAATGGCTGGATTACCAGCGGCAGGTCCTACTTGACACTGATACTCGGCATCATCCTCCAGGGAGGCATTCTTAATTTGTAAATTGTAAACGCCGTTTGCGGCATCGACCAGAACCGAATAACGGGGAAAACCATGAATCACCGCGGAGAAACCCAACGCAAAACCATCTTTGGTCCATTGAACTTGGCCGGCACGATTGGCCACCTCACAACGCAACAGTGTATCGGTGCCCTCTAAAATCTGTAAATCGTGGGGGGTAACACGAAACTTTTGTACTGGCGTTGTAGACTGTGCTGCGGCTGTTGTAATAACGACTGGAAATGGGTCAAAGAAAAGGGAAAATCATTGTTAATTTAGTTATTACAAAAAAGAAACGTTAAGATAATAGTTTAGAAATTTTAATGTGGTTGTCATTTGTGTCACCGCCGCCCAGTGTGACAACCCACGTCGAAAAAAAAGAAACAATGTTAACCACCCACATGAGAAAATCTCATTTATGTCCGGGTCATTTTGGCCGTCTATACGCCGTTGAATATGTTTGGTGAACTAATTTTCCAGCATTTAACACCAGACAATTACAACAACAACACCAAGCAATGCATTCGAAACCTGCATCAATGACGAACGTTATTTGTATTCTAGCCAGCCAGCCAGTCTGTTTGTCATTTGTCCAACCTACATATTCTTTGATTTGATTCATTGACTTATTCATCCACCAATGTTATCTGAACCATTAACAGCAACAACAACAACAACGACGACGGCATCGACAACATCAACGGTCAAAGAGTAAGGCAACAGGCAGGCCAGCTGATTAGCATAATAAACGAAGAAATCATTGATTCGAAATCCCACTAAAGCAATCAACAACTATGGGTGGTTGGTTGGTCGGTCGGTCGGTGGTCAAATATAACCATCCACATAATTTCACCCATAGTTTTGGGCCCCTATGAAGGCGTTTAATGAATGATGGCTAATGTGGAAGAGAGTGTGGGGGAAGGGGCATATCGATGGATATTAAGGTACAAAAGACCCACTAATCATTTTCTAATGTATGGCATATAACAAATACAACAAAGACTACAACAACGACGAGGAGAATATTATAGTGTCCAACAAGCCAGTCCTATTCACATGGATGACAAACAAATCAATTCCCATGGCTTTATTAGCTGCAAGAATACCACACCCAATGTCATCCAGAGGTGTACACTGAGAAAAAATAATGCAATGAATTTCTTAAAATTTACTTTAAGTTTGCTACAACTTTCCAAATTATGTATTAATTTCTCCACTCGAATACAAATTATAAACTCCTTTTTTTATTTCTCTGAGTGTACAACGCACACATGCCCCCAAATTTTGTGCGTTCTCATGCAGATAAGACCAATCACGTTTAACAAGAACAACAATAACATTGATCAATGGATTAATTGATTTTTAGCCTCAATATAATGGCCAAACCGACTACACTTTTGGTCGGCACGATTCATTTCCGTTGAGACAAACATTTAATATAATTTATGGTAATTGTAATGGAAATGTCATCTTTCGTAAGGGGATTCGGTGGCAACAATCGGCAGCATGGCAGGCAAAGAGCTGTTAAAGTACACATTACCAAATGTTGAACGAACGTGTAAAACGTGTGAGACGTTTTTGCCCATGTTTTCATTTTATTTTTTCATCAATCGTGTTAAAGTTTTTTTGCCAACATGTTTACTGTTTTTCGTTTCTTTTTTCCTTACACTTTTTTATTTATATATACTTTTGTGTCTCTGTGTGTGTGTATTGGCCATTCCTGTCAATTGAATTAAAGTATCTTCCAAATCCCCACTCGAATTTTGAGTTCTTTATGTTTTAGTGGTGGCTAAGACCACAAGATGGACAGTTTGTCATCTGTGTTTTGTGGTCTAAGTTTCCATAAAACAATTAATGCTGCCATACAATGGGAATGGGAGAATGTGAAGATATGGAACTATAGAAGTTATATTATGGTCAAGCGTTAAGGCAGACCCTATGGACACGTGAGAAGTGGGTATTGTTGCAATAAAAACTCCTTCAACTGTGACAAGTTAAGGCAGCAAAATGTTAAATGTGACATGTTTTCCTTTTTCGAATTCGTTTTCGGTTTGTTGCTAGCTTGTAATATAACCGTAGTATAACACTTAACCGGCTTCCTTTTCTTCAGTTCATTCATTAAGAATGGACAGAAGGAAAAGGAAGAAAAAGGCAAGAACAACAACAACAAAACAATGAACAATATTTCTTCGAAATAGGGGGAAGGTGTCACAAGAAGGTTTTATGGTCATTTGTTGTAGCTGAGGTGGATACCAACAACACATATATCTATGTATGTGTATCTGTGTGTGTGTGTGTGAAAGAAGGCTTTTCTCTGTTAATACTATCCCAAGAACATATAAGTTTTTTGTTTTTTTTTTCAAAATATCATTTGCCCTTATGGCTTAGTCTTACAATACAACCACCACCACTATTACGATTATCATGAGGTACTGCAACAACTCAAGTGGTAGTTAAAACAACAACAGCAGCAGCATTAAAACCAAAAATTACTGAAAATTGTTTGTTGTTGATCCTTAACCACAAACGACACAAGAACTTCTAATATTGATGTACTCTTGTTAGGGTCACTCCACCACCACACAACTGTTGGCTGTTATAGTTATGTCGAACATATATTTTTTTGGTTGTACAGGGTGATGCAAAGGAAATTTCCCCCATTTTTTTTAATAACGACACAGTGATAATTTATACAAATTTAATGAAAATTAATTGTCATTAGTGGTAGAACAAAAACTGACAGTTCAACATCCTGTTGATATTTAACATTACATACTTTAATGCCTCGAATGTATAAAGGAACCAAGTAAACTTGTCTAATTATGTTGATTCCATTTGTTGTTGTTGTTTTTGTACTCTTGAAGAAAACTTGAGAGGCAAGCTCTGCATTTATTTGCTTAGCACTACAACGGTCGACTGCAATGAAGATTTAAAGGACTACGGCTACAATTCCAGTCCAAAACCAAAAACGACAACAACAACAACAAAAAAGTGACAATGACAACATACCTAACACATACTATATTTAATGACATAAAAACCTGGAACAGAAGACAAGCGATTTGCAACAAATGCTCACACTTCACTCACACACACACATATAGCACATGCCCCTAACATCTTTTGGCAAGGGGAAAAATATAGAAACTTACGAACATATCTGCATATGACTATTTCAAGTCACCAGTCAGTCAGTCATTCACTCACTCAGCTAGTCAGCTTCTGTGTGCCTGTGTGCGTTGTATGTTCGGTCCTATGAAAACTAACCAAAGAACAGGATAGAAAAGCAAAAAAAACCGACAACTTCCCCAATATCAACTCAAACAGCTTCTAAACAATTTCGTATATAAGCCATAAACAACAGCAGCAACAAAAACAAGACCAAACAAAAACAAACGACATCACCAATTACCATTAAAACCAAAACCCAAATGACAATGTCTAGAAAGACGAAGGAAGATGACAAAATCGACAACAACAACAAAAAGAGAAAACTAAATACAAAAAGTTGTCTTATAAGTGACGAACGAACGAACCAACCGACCAGATACATATATTGGAAGGGAGGAAGGGCTGGAATAGAACATTGGTAGTATGAGAATCACGATTTACCCTTTACTCCATGCAATTGAATTAGCTTTTAACGACAGACAAGGGATTGGCGACATTAGTCGCAATAAGTAATATCAGGACAGAACTTTTTTCGGTAATTTTGGATACCATCGTTAATATTGATATGTTGTTAAAAACGTTGTCTTTATAAACGAATTAATGGAACAAAAATATATCTCATGAAAAAAAATTCTAGGCGATTTTTGTATGACATGTTTACCACAACACCATTTTTTAATTTAAAAATAACAAAACTCTACAACATTTTCCAAAAATTCCTTTCATTCTTCCTCCCTCTCTCGCTCCCTCTCCACTCAACTTTGTTACAAACCACACAACTAACTTTCCATGCAAATTGTAGCATAAAACAAGCACAACAACAATAGCCAAACAAATGGATCTAAAGTTGCACACAACAACACCAACAGCAACAACACTGGCATGATAATAACAGACCGGATGTCACACTAATGGTCACTTTTAGTTTGAGTTTATGTGAGAGTTTTACACCGAGTGTCGCATTGCTCTTTAAGGTTTAGTTTTGTTTTTGCTGCTGTTTGTTTCTTCGGCTACTTTGCAATTTGTTTTTATGATAAGCAACACACACGCAAGCTCACACACATACACAAACACATTAACCAAAATTTATACCACAATAACAACAAAACGACAATGGAAATAAAAACAAGTGACCAAACAAAAAATACAACACCAAAAACAAAAACTGATAGTATTACTCCTTTTAAACTACATGGTTATGGCCAATTCATTCATAAACTACTTCAAGTGACCAAAGTGAAAAAAGCAGCACATGCACACACACACACACAAGAACTGAATCGGATACCAACACATGGCAAGGCGATCACTTAACCTGTCTCAATATCGACCGGCCAACTACAATATGAAGACGAAAACTGTTAAAAGAAATGTAAGCAGTTTTTACAGGCTTGCAACCAACAACAACAACAACACCAAGATGAACATTCATTTAAGAGTCCAACAATGGACTCTTTTGGGTGCGAGTGACTATGAAATAAGTTAATGACTTGGACACGTACACATGCAACCCTTCTAGGGCTGGCCACAACTGCACTGCAAGATTTCGGAGTCCTAAGCAAGCAAGCATGCGGAGTCCAGCCAGTAGTAGTGGTTTTTCCATTCGTTTGCATTATTTTGCTTTTAGGGTTCATTAATGGTTTGGAAGATTCTAGTTTTTTTGTTCTTATGCTGCTGTTCATCTTCATCGTCTTCGTTTTAAAGCTCGTTTGTTTGCTTTTCCTTTTTATTGCGGCTAGAGTGTGCGTCCATGTCCACAAAGCATGGCTGTGGTCTTTTGGGCCAGGACATAATGGTTATTAAAGTAGTTACATGTATTCAAGTCAATGCACACACTCACACTGATACTTTGCTCTTAAAAGCAAAGGCTATTATTGCTAGCCAGGGAAGTAAGCAATCCAGTGTCTATTAAACAGGCAAAAAACCCCAACAACAACAAAAAATACACTCCAAGTCAGTGATAAGCATTGAGCAGAGATGCTACCTACTAAGCAAGTGATACGGACTAAGTGCGCAAGTATGCGTATGAGTGGGGTTAAGAAGAAGAAGAACTAGCCATGCATCTGCTA